GATGGGATACATAACTATCCTAGCAACATGGGGACCTACGAGACGAAGTTTTTCTTCTTCTGTTATGACGGCCATTGCTACTTTCAGGATCCAAGTAGGTTCCTCTTTGCTAGGTTTATTAATTGTGCGTTTCTTTCTCTAACGACTTGCTTTCTTTTGCAGTTAACAAGTCGACCAACCTGAACCTGCTCCATGACCCGGACAGGATAGTGTCTTTTGGGGTTCTTCCCGAAGAGAGTCGTGAAGCGAGGAAGCTCGTGACGACCACAAACTTGTGGAAGTACGGTTTTTTCAACAATAACGCGTCTTTAGAGTCCCCAGAGCGTAAGTTGGGTTGACTGATCCTTTACTGGTCGTAAAATAATTTTAGGTTTGTTACTAACGTATTTGCATGCAGCGACCATGCCTCTGAAAGAGTCCGAACAGCCCTAGCGAGCGCCATTTAACTTCCTTCGGTCGAGGAAGGCTAGGGTGGCCGAAGCTGCTCACCCCACGTCGGCTCAACCGGTGTGAACTGCTGCACCTTCCCAGTCGCGTCTTGAAGAAGCAACGACTAGGACAAAACAGGTCGCTCAGCCATCACCTGCTCAACCGAGGCGGAAGATAATGGCTCAGTGGTCGAAGAAAAGGAAGCAGATTCAGGTCGAGGAGTCAGGGACCGAATCCGAGGGTGAACCATTGAGGTCGCAGCGGGGCGTCGGAAAGAGGTCGGGCAAGGAACCCACCAGTGGGACGGCTATTGCTGAAAAGGCAAAGGACACCCCAGTGCTGGACGCGCTGGGGAACCTGCCCGAATATCTATAGCCGATGGTCTATTCTCTACTTGAGTGTGGACTATTAGATTCATATGATGAGTTCGCTGATACGGGCGATGTTGACCTGATGACCACATCGGTTCAACATCTAAGCAAGGTAAACGAACTGCCCTTGAGGTGAAGTTTGCTATTAATGATTCTAACTCATTTCTTGTTCGCAGGCTCTGCTCGCCATGAGAATGTCCCTAGAGAAGGCTCGGCTTGGCGCCGCGAAAGGGGAAAACGACTTGAAAGAGGAGATCGCGAAGCTCAAACAAAGCCTAGAAGCCGTCGAAGTAGAAAGGGAACTGTCCGCTAAGGCAGCGAATAGATACCTGAACCAGAAAAACGCAGCTATGTGCACGGTGGACTTCCAAAAGACAGAGCTCGAGTGACGCACCGATTTAATAAAGGAGCTTCAAAAGACAACAGCCAGACTCTCCAAGGAGGTCAGAGAGAAGGACCAGGAACTCCAGATGACCTTAAGGCGGGCTCAGCAAGCAGAACAAGAAATGGAGGCCTCTGAAAAGAGAAGGCAAGCTCTTAAGGCCGAGCTTCAGGAGAGTCAGGGAAGAGTTGCTTCCCTGACCGAAGAAATGCAGAGCCAGGCGGAGGAGGTCAAGGATAAGGCCGTCGACTCGGCGATTGGGTCTATCTACACCCTGTGACCAAAGAACCCAAATCTAGATATGTTCGACCTCCCGGGGGAATGGCAGGAGACCTTGCGGACCTTGGCAAGGCAAGACGACGAAGCAGCGGCTACCCGTGGACCTGACCAAGCAGGGGGTTTGAAATCTGCCTCGAAGAAGCCCCCAACCGATCAGGCCTAGGGCGATGAGGTCAACCATTGGAGTCATAGGGTCAATAGTTCCATTTTGTACATAAATGAAATACATTTTGTTTTCAATTGCTGTTCGCTTGATCATACATGAGTTTGCGGTTTACAATTCAGTTTATTTATACAAACAATATTACATGCGAACTGTTACAAGCGAACAGAATAACACTTTACAAGGAAACTTAACAAAAATTAAGAACTAATTCATAATGAAAGTTGAGTTCGGGATTACTGATAATACGGCCAAAGGTGCTCAGCATTCCAAGCTTGGGGTACTTTAGAGTCGTTTAACCTTTTGAGATGATAAGTCCCCGGTCTTATTACTTTGTCGACATGATATGGACCTTCCCAGTTCGGTCCTAGTACTCCCACACTTGGTTCCCGGGTACCGAGGAGAACTTCCTTAAGCACAAGATCTCCAACCTGGAAGTCTCTTCACTTAACCTTTGAGTCGAAGAACTTCTTTGCGCGTTGCTGGTAGGCTGCTATCCTTAGCGAAGCCTTGCTGCGGTGTTCTTCAACAAGATCCAGACTTGCTCTCATAAGTGCTTCGTTTTCGGCCTCATCATACAAGTCCCTCCGAAGTGAACCAGTCCCTACCTCCATGGGAATCATTGTTTTGCAACCGTAGGCTAGTGAAAGGGCATTTCTGAGGTAGAGGTTCTCGGAGTTGTCCTGTATGCCCATAGGACTTCGGGGAGGTCGTCGGCCCAATTCCCCTTGGCTGTGTCGAGCTTGGCCTTTAGAGTGTGCTTGATGGTTTTGTTGACAGCCTCAACTTGGCCATTTGCTTGAGGTCTTGCAACTAAGGCGAACTTTTTATGGATGCCCAGCTCGTCGCAAAACTGCTTGAATTCCTCGTTGTCGAACTGTTTCCCGTTATCCGAGATAAGGGTGTGAGGAATTTCGTAGTGACACACTATATTCTTGAAAAAGAAGTCTTTCAGCTTTCTGGTCGTGATCGCGGCCAGCGGTTCAGCTTCCACCCATTTGGTGAAATAGTCTACCGCGACCACGGCATACTTGACCCCCCCTTTACCAATTGGCATGAGACCGATGAGGTCGATCCCCCATATTGAAAATGGCCAGGGGCTAGTCATTGTCACCAGCTCGTGAGAGGGGGCTTGCGGTATGTTCGCGAACCGTTGACACTTATCACACCTTTTGACAAAGTTGTAGGTATCGTCCTAGATTCGGGGCCAATAGTACCCCTGACAAACAATCTTGTTCGCTAGAGATCGTGCAGCGGTGCGATTATCGCAGATGTCTTCATGAATTTGCCTCATAACGTAATCTGCTTCTTCGTTGGTCACAGATCGGAGTAGAGGGACGATGAACCCTCGCCTATACAGCTGGTTTCCGACAAGGTTGTAAAGAGCAGATCTTGTTCGCAGAATCCGTGCCTCGACAGGCAGGATCCCATCCTTGAGGTACCGAAAAATAGGAGTCATCCAGGAATCTGATTCTGTTAAATTCACGGCCTGTTCGATCGGGCTGATGCTTGGGGCCTCGATTATTCGAACAGGAATGCTATCTAGTTCCTCTGAGTCCAACGAAGAGGCTATTCTCACTAGGGCGTCCGCCACAGAGTTGCTATCTCTACGGATCTGAGTTATCACGAACTACTTGAAGGGTTCGAGTGCGGCCTTAGCTTCTTTCAGATAGTGAATCATGTTCTCTTTCCTGGCTTGGTATTCTCCTAGAATCTGGTTAACGACCAGCATGGAGTCAATGTGGATGCTGATCGTGGTTGCACCCATTTCTTTGGCCAATCGCAATCCAGCGAGCAGGGCTTTATACTCGACCTCATTGTTGGTTGCCTTGAATCCAAACTGGAGGATGCCGTGAATGCGAGCCCCAAAAGAAGGAGACCTGTACCCACTCTCTTCCTGGTCGACAATCCATCGACATAGAGGCTCCAGGTCGATAAATCCTAAGCTGTTTCCTAAACGGCCTTGCTGGGCTATTGTTCCGACTCGTTTAGGAGATAAGAGAATTTTGAGATGAAGTCAGCAACAGCCTGCCCTTTGATAGTCGACCTTGGCTTGTACTTCAAGTCGAACTGACTCAATTCCATGGCCATTTGAGTAATTTTCTTGAGGTCTCTGGCTTCTGGAGGACCTGCCTGAGGGGGTAATTAGTCATCACATGGATCATGTGGGCGTGGAAGTAAGGTCGCAGCTTTCTAGAAGCAATCAGCAGGGCATAGTCTAATCGTTCCATTTCTGGATACCGCATCTCAGCATTTGATAGTTGCTTGCTCGCATAGTAGACTGGCCATTGTACTTTTTCCTCTTCCCGAACTAGGGCTGCACTGACCGCGAACTGAGAGACGGACAGATACAAAGGCAGGATCTCTTGCGGAAGAGGCTTTGACAAGAGGAGTGGCTTCCCAAGGTGTTCCTTTATACTTTGGAATGCCTGTTCGCACTCGAGAGTCCATTCGAACTTCTTGTTGGCCTTCAAAACAATGAAGAACGACAAGCAGCGATCTATTAGCCTCGATATGAAGCGACTAAGTGCCGCTATTCGCCCGTTTAGACTCATGACTTGTTTTTTGCTGGTCAGGCTTTCCATATCGAGGAGAGCTTGTATTTTCTTGAGGTTGATTTCTATTCCCCGCTGGTTAACCATGCACCCTAGGAATTTACCTGAGGATACCCCGAACGAACACTTTAAAGGGTTTAGTTTCATTCTATAGAGTCGGAGGATATCAAACATCTCTGCAAGATGCGCCACATGGTCTGAAGCGACATGGGATTTGACCAGCATGTCATCGACATAAACCTCCATTGACTTACCGATCTGGTTGGCGAACATCTGGTTAACCAATCGCTGATAGGTCGCGCCAGCGTTCTTGAGACCGAACAACATGACTTTATAGCAGTACAGTCCCTGATCTATAATGAAAGATGTGTGCTCTTCGTCTGGCGCATACATCAGAATTTGATTATACCCGAGTATACGTCCATGAAACTTAGTAGCTCGTGCCTCGAGGTGGCATCCACGAGCTGGTCAATTCTTGGTAAGGAGAAGCTGTCTTTAGGACAGGCTTTGTTGAGGTCACTAAAGTCGACGCAGGTTCGCCACTTGCCATTGGGCTTCTTTACCAGAACCGGGTTGGTGACCCAAGTCGGGTATAGCGCCTCTCGGATAGACCCATTATTGAGGAGGTTGTCCACCTCTAGCTTTAGGGTGGAGTACCGCTCCGGATCCATTGCTCTACATTTCTAGCGAACTAATTTGGCTTCACTATCGATGTTCAGTGCATGGCAAATGACATCTAGGTTGATCCCGACCATATCTGCGTGCGACTATACAAACACATCAATGTTTTCCTTGAGGAAGCTTGTCAGTTCGGTAGCGAGCTAGGGATTAAGATTTTTACCGATTCTCAACACCCTGCTCGGCTCTTTCTGGTCGACCAGCACTTCAGTCAGGCCCTCAACTGGCCCACTGGAAGGGCAATCTTGGACACGAGGGTCTATGTTGTCCTCGGCCGGACTAGGTCGTGGCTCAATCCGGCTGATCGCCATTGCTTGTCTATGACTTCCTCGCGAGGTGCCCATTCCCTTGCATGTCATCTGGACTGCTTTCACATAGCAGTCGCGCGATGCACGCTGAGACCCGCTGACTTCCCCGATCCCCGTCAGGGTGGGGAATTTCATTTTTAGATGATAAATTGAAGTGACCACCTTGAATTGTCTTAGCAGAGGTTGCCCCAGGATTCCATTGAAGGCTGATGGGTAGTCTACTACTAAGAACTCGGTTACCTTAGTCACTTTGTCAAGATCGCCCAGCGTGACTGAGAGTGAGATTGTTCCTTTGGGGAGTAAATGGTCTCCCGTGAATCCATACAATGGGAACGAGGCAGGTTTCAGGTCGGTCTCGTCTAGATTCATCCTTCCAAAAGTGGAAGCAAACAGGATGTTCACAGCACTCCCATTGTCTACTAACATTCTCTGGGTGTTATAGTGCCTTATCAAGGGAGTGATTACAAGTACGTCATCATGAGGATGATGCAACCTGGCCGCATCCTGTTTGGAGAAGGAGATTTCCACCTCCCTGCGAACCTTTCGTGGTTGCTGTTCTGCACTCATTACTCTAATGGAGTCGTGATGTGATTCGCGAGCATACCTTTTTCGGGCACCTCGCGAGTTTCCGACGAAGTGCGGTCCCCCAAAAATCAGGTTGAGACTGCACACACCCTTCTGATTGCGTCGCTTCTTACTCGGCTCCCCCCGTATTTTCTCTTGCGAGGGGGCAGAGTCGCCGATGTACTCCTTGAAATGCCCATTATTGATGAGCTCCTCGATTGCTTGTTTTAAAACTCGACACTCATCAGTATGGTGCTCATTGTCCCGATGGTAGCGACAATACTTTTATTATTTCTGGCTGTCGTGGGGGTTTTCATGGGCTCGGGCTCCCCGAGCAGACTAGCTTCTTCGGACTTATCAAGAATGACGGATACAGAGGCGTTCAATGGAGTATACCGGTGCCTGTCGCGATCGCGACGAAGGACATGTGCATAGGACTTTCTGGGCTTGTAGCGGGATTTCTTTTCTTTTTGTTGATCGTCAGCGGACCCTCTGTGATCAGCCCTTCTGCTTTCCCCCCGGCCAGACATACTGCCAGAAGTGCTGGGGTCGCGACGGCGGAGTGCCGCCAACAAATTTTCTATCTGGAGGTATTTCTCCGCAAGGTTATAGAACCTGGTGAGGGAAACATCGTCCTCAGCCTGTAATTCCTTCCACAAGTCGGTTTGCGGGCGAACTCCCGCTATTATGAGTGTTCGGATGGACTCTTCGGGGGCGTGAGCCAACGGTCAATGTAGGATTGTAGGGATTCATCTTTTTCTTGCCTTATGTTGCTGAGGTAGCTCAAAAGCATCGAAAACTTTTGATTTTCTTGGAAATGCCTCAGGAACATCGCGCTCATCTGAGGCCACGAACTGATCGATCTCGCTGGGAGCGACCTTAACCACCGTTTGGCATGAGAAGTTAAAGTCATGGCCAAACAACGGTATTTTGCAAGATCCGGGACCTGGTGTAACTCCATCAAGTCGTTGAATTCATACAAATGATCCTGCGAACCATGGTTCCTATCGAACACCTGCATATCGGGCATTCTAAACCCAGGTGGGAGTGGAGTAGCTAACACTTTGGGAGAGAAGGGGGAAGCAGATGCAACCTACCCCTGCTCGTTTTGCTGCTCTCTCAGTCTGTCTAGAGCTCGCTGCAACTCCTCAATTTGTGGTAACGGAGCTAGTCGGGGATTACTTTCACCCATGCGTGTTTGACCTTCGCGATTACGGTTCAGGAAAGTCTGGAGGTCGGACTCCTCTTCGCCTTAGTCGACATTTCCAGCCGCTCTCGACAACGCTGGCTTGAGGCACGTGAAGGCGATGGATGGGGCGGGGTATTTTCACGACCCTCGCGGTAGTACGAACCGCCCCGCGAGGTGTGGAGACCACCCGCATGACAGCGATCAGGATCGTTCTGTTGGCGGTGATAAGAATCGCCCCGCCCAGCACTTTTGCTTGGGTTCACCTGCGACGTGGCATGGGAAAGCTCGGGATTTACTTTTTCCCCGAGTCTCAGCTTTGCCGGTACCCTGCTTGGGGCACGATTTAAGTTCGTTGGCCCTTCAGAGCCCGTAGGCTTGTTTTTTCCCACTTGCTTACCCTTACGTCTACGCGTTGCAGTGCTCGCGGCACAGGCTATTTCCCTTTGCCATGCTTTCGCGTGACCTGCAGGTGTTTTTGGCCGTTGCATCGCCCTAGCTGTTCTGGATGCCACGCCTTGGTCCAAACGGTCCAACCTTTGGTTGACCATCTGGAGAGTATTGTCGAACCTCTCCAAGTAGCTTCTGATGGCAGGGTCTAGTTGCGAAGTTGCTGGGATATCTACCGCAACGTTTTATGGAACTGGAAGTATCCTGGAAGAGGTATCCCCCTGGGTTAGGGGGACTCCCTCAGCACCCCGGTTGGCTTGCTCAGGTTCAGGTTGGCGGGCCATTTGTTGCTGTAGGACCAGTAGTTTAGAGATTCTCCTAATGAAGGATGAACACTAAATCAGGCCCTCCTTCTAGCGCCAAAATGTTGATGCGTGATTTTGACACCAACTAATCGACACATGCGTAACGTTGGTTGGCCAAGGGACACACGTGGGTATGGACTATGTGAAGTAAATGCAATAAAGTGAGCTTTTTAAAGTGGTTCGGATGCTAAGGTAGCGAATCCTATGTCCACTTATGTTTGTATTAATGATAGGGGTTAGGTCGCTTTAGCGGACTGACTTACAAATGACTTTTCAAAAGACCAATTTTCAATTACAAGAGAGATGATAGCTAGTTAAAAGTAAGAATGGCCGACCCCCTCAACAAAGAGGTCTTCCCCTTTTATAGTGAGATGAGTGCAAATAATCATCATTAAATCTGTGGGTTGGTGTGAATGTCAGGACAAATCCATCTTTATGTCACATTACCCACCTTCCAAACTGATTTCGCGCGATTTGGAGTAGGGAATGGACACGTGGGATCTTCACAGCGTCTGGCAGGTCTGACGTGCGCTTACCGTTGTGACAGGAGCAGGTCACACTCCCTCAGTGATTTCCCACGTCAGCCCTTAATTTCCCAGGCATAACAAATGGTATCAACTACAAATTAATAAGTTCCAAATATATACATATAGAAATTTTTTAATAAATAATTTAGACCAAGTTTACTTATGTTAGGAAGCTACTGGAAAACAAAATTTCAACCAAATTTGGAAATTACAAAATTTTATCCTGTAACAATTTCTTCACGTATGAACTTTGTCTAAATTATATATATATATAAGAGGATATTTTCGAAAGAGGATGAGTTTTTACATGTGAAGATCCAAACTCCGAACTCCAAATTAATTATTTTTTTTTTTAATTTTGACCAAGTTTACTTATATGTTATGAAGCTATTAAAAAAAAATTGAAAACTACAAAATATTTTGTCCTGTAACAATTTCTTCACATAAGAACTTTGTCAAATTTTTAATTTTTTTAATAAAATATATTTTCCAAAAGAGGATGAGTATTCATACACGTGAAGATTCAAACTCCAAAACTTCTATTTGATATAGAGTTTATTTAAACAATCAAGAAAAAAATTAGCCAAACTTAAACTTGGATTCTAAAAATCTGTAGCACATTACAAATCAAAATTAATAAAAAAAAAAAATTTCTAGGTATATTAAATATTATTGTAGAATTTTCACTTTTTTTACAAAAAAAAAAAAAAAAATGTATTTATAATCTTTCCTTTATCAGCATTGACTCGTCATCAGCAAAGTCCACAAGCTAGCTACCATTCTTTGTTTGAACAGTGTTCAACTCAATTCTCTAATTAATATGCCAATATATAATAATTGGAAACCTGAAATCATTCTCCCAAATTCTCATGAAAACAAACAAACATGAACTCCAGAATGAAAATTCTACTTTCTTCTTCAGGATTTTCCCACTTCTGCTTCATTTTTTTCTTTTTATTTCGCAACTCCACTGCGCTAGTTACTGACGCTGATGAAGGTGCTCTCTCTCTCTTTCTTTTTAATTTTATGAAAGTGTGAGATTACTTGTATGCTTGCATGCGTTTCTACTTACGAAAATTTTATTTATTGATTGGCTTTTTGTTGTGAGCAGTGAAGGCATTGAACTCAATATTTCAAAAATGGAATACACAACCAGATCCAGGCGCGTGGAACATAAGTGGAGAGCCATGCGGTGGAACTGCCACAGATGCAAATGCCAGCTTGGATGACCACAATCCTGCTATCAAATGTGACTGTTCCTTCGAAAATAATTCGACATGCCATATCACTCAGCTGTATACTCTCTTTCTTCCAACCAAATTCAGTGAAATTTTCAATTAACTTAGTTTCAAGTTTTGTTGAAGCATAGACAGATCATACTAGCTCCAAAAGGAGTTCAGAAGTTTTCCTTTTCGCCGAACAAAGTTCAGTCTTTAAAGCATTTTAGGAGATATCTATTTTCTTTATTCATTTGGATTTGGAAGGGTCTTTGGTTTAATTTTGTGCTACCTATTAGCATTATTTTTATTTATAATTTTTCCTTTATATATTCAAGCTATACAGTACAGATTTTTTTTTTTGGATGCTTTAGATGGATTTTTAATTTTGTGGATAGTTTGTTCACTCTTTCGTAATTTTTTTATTCCAGATTAATATCAATAATATTACTATAGCTTCTTCTAAAAAATTATGGTAAAACCTTCCCTAAAGTTGTATAAAAAATTCAAACTGTAAGGAAGTGTATAATTTCCCAAATCCAAGAGATGTGCAACTGTAATATCAGGTCAAATTTTAGTAGATATTAATGAAACTTGCCTTAATTTTTTTCCAGGAGGGTCTTTCGACTGGAAAAAACAGGAGAAATCCCAGAAGAACTAGCGGCTTTGCAATTTCTGACACATTTGTATGGATTAATCTATTCATTTCCCCGCATTTGATTTGCACAAAACAACTTTGACCTTAGTCATTTACTAATTAATGAACAAACATTATATAAAATTTGATAATTTTTTTTTTCTGTTTGAACTCTGCAGTAAAATTAATCTAAATTACTTCTACGGTCCCTTGCCTGCGTTTATTGGAAACTTATCTCGATTGGAGGTTTTGTAAGTATTGAAAAACACCTTGTGATTGAAAACATGATTTAGACTATATTTGTTTATTTTTGGAAAATGAATTTGGATTTTGTTGCTAATTCTTGTTTTCTGGGTCTTGGGGTGTTATAATTTTGTCTTTCTTGTGTCCAGAGAGCTTAGCGACAATACCCTTTCAGGGCCTCTCCCAAAGGAACTTGGAAAACTTAAGAAGTTAACTTTTCTGTAAGATAAGCTTACTTTATCCTTTCTCTACTTTTTTTTTTTTTTTTTTTTAATTTTAATGATAGCAAGATTCAAATAAATTCTCTACGATTATTTTATTAAATGAAAGCAGAGAAAAAAAGATTCAATTGTTAATTAAGGAAAGATTTTAAATTGGGAACTTGAAGAGAGGACTTCTTTAAGTTAGATTTAGATTTCCTATGTTAGATCTTCCTCTTTGAATAGAATTTGAATGACTTAGTACTATTAAGGTAGATTTCTAGTATTTTTTTTTAGGCCATTAATTCTTCTTTTCTTTCCGTCTATTTGAATAGAATTTGAATGACACATAGTTATATGGGGACAATTGTGAGATGATCTTTTTTATTATTCTGAAACTGACAGCCATAATCACTCTTTAGCCTAGAAAAAAAAAAATGGAAGTCTTATGATAAAAAAGTGTCTTATGGTTCAATGTGTCACATGTTATGTTTATGAAAACTCAAAATCACAGTTGGAACAATTGTGCTTATACATAACTTGCAATTAATATTTCATGAATTCTGCTTGAATAACGTCTTACAAATGTATGAATTAATATAAAATAATGAGCATTAGAGAGTTAATTCTTTTGATACATTTCATGCAGGGCTATAGGTTCCAACAATTTCTCTGGAACACTGCCTCTTGAACTGGGATTCTTATACAAACTAGAGGAAATGTAAAATCTTACTTATTTGTTTAAAACATTTTTTCTCTATTTAGTTTCCGAGTAAAACACTAATTTTTACACCTGAGATATATGTCTTATGAAAATAAGAATTTCTTTATTGGTGGACTTAATAGTTACATAGATAGTTCTGGAGTGAGCGGTGAAATTCCCTCGACTTTTGCTAATCTTCGAAACATGAAAATAATGTAAGGAAGATCCTTTCCACATGTTTATGTCTTTATGTTTGTGCTACACTTGAAGATTAAATTCCCTGTACTCGGCTTACAATAAGTGATTTGTTAATTTCAGGTGGGCATATGATTGTGTGTTGACAGGCAAAATACCAAAGTTCATTGGGAACTGGAACAATCTTACAGTGTTGTAATATATGAAAAACTTCTTTCATGTTATTCAATTTTATCATTGTGAATGGTAGCAAATATTTTCTCTAGCTCTGTCTAGATTTAAGCACTCTGATTATTTTGTTGCAAATACTTATGTAGGAGATTTGGAGGGAACTCACTTGAAGGTCCTATACCATCCAGTTTTTCTAACTTGACCTTATTGAAGAAATTGTAAGGATAATTCAAATAGTACTACTCTCTAAAAGGCTAATTCAAAAAATTATAATTTGACACCATATCATATTAGTGATGTTTGAATTAATTGTGTAGGCAAATCAATGACTTAAACAATGTTAGCTCGTCTCTAGATTTCATTAAAAATATGAAGAACTTGACTTATTTGTAAGTTACTCATACTCCATTAAGTTATATCAAACTTTTTAGTTTCTGATACTTTTCTTCTGAGCTGATTCATTTTGACACTGACAAATTTTTTTTCTTCATAGATCTCTAAGAAATGCTCTGATTAATGGTAGCATTCCATCTTACATTGGAAAATATAAGAGTTTACAGACTCTGTAAGTTAGTATTTTATCGGCACAGAGTATGTCTCTTCTTGTTCGTTTGCGTCTTATTTTTTTTTTTTTTTCTATTCTGGCAGGGATTTGAGTTTCAACAATTTAAGTGGTCAAATCCCTAGTGCTTTGTTCAGTATTGATCCTCTTACTCAATTGTAATTTTTTCATTTACTTCTCTCCATCAATTTCAAGATTTGAGCCTTCAGTTTTATGTCTAACCCTTATTCTTTCATTTAATAAACCTTTTTCTTTCTTTCTTTCTTTCTTTTTTGTTGCTTCTCTTCTACACAATTTCAATGGCCAGGTATCTTGGAAACAACAGTCTGTCAGGAGGACTTCCTCAGCAAAAAGGTGTAAAACTTCAAACTGTGTAAGTCTTCATTCAACAGTACTGGTCAAACTGAGCATAGGAATTGTGACATTCACTTATGTTGTGAAATTATGCCTAAATCTATTTCAACAAAATCAGTCGTCTCTAATTGATAAAAGCAATTTGAATTCTTTACTGATTTGTTCCTTAGTGTTATATATATATATATATGTGTGTGTGTGTGTTTCCTACTAAATTATGGTTATCATACTATTTCCTGCAGAGATTTTTCTTACAATTATCTATCAGGACCTTTTCCGGAGTGGGTGAATAATGATATAACGTTGTACGTCTCTCAAACCATGAATCCTCTTTCCTTGGTTCTTTAATTTATAATAATTTACATGATTGCAAGAAAGAATCAAACAACAATCTTCATGGCCAACACTTATCGCTGCTGGTAACCCGGTGATCTCTTCCTTTTTGGCACTCAAAAGAACTAATATCATCGGAAAAAGCTCAATTTTGATGACTTTATAATCTAGTAAACTATTTCTCAAATTTTTATTTACATTTAGCGTATAATAAAATATCATTTTATCTCTAACAAGTATACTTCAAACTTTGATATATAATTGATCATTAATTACATTGAATTGTATAGGAATCTAGTGGGCAACAACTTCACATTTGACAGCTCGAACATCAGGTGTGTTACAATTCCCTTTAGGGACATCCTTCTTTTTGAATTTTCAATAAAGAAAACCAGTAATGTTCTCTGTGTTTTCCAGTGATTTCTATGGATTGAACTGTCTCCAGAGATACTTCCCCTGCTATAGAAATGCTCCACGCTGTAAGTTGCTTTCATCATGAATGTTTGGGAGAATGTTCTCTGTGTTCGCCAGTGATTTCTTTTCGTAATTTTTATTGTATAGCTCAAGGTTAGAAAAAATTTAATAATAGAGATCCTGACTTCAAAAAGCAGTCCAAAGTTCAATTCCACCTGCATGGAATATCAAATCCTACTTAGTATACCCTACCGACCTTTGTTTAGGGGGCTTGGAGAATTGCTATGATAACAGAAATATCACCTACTAGTTCTACTTCTGCTGGTACTTTTGACCGATTCAATTGAAATGATAATATCCAAAATTCAAGTTAGGGGACTTGCTTTGAGCTTGAGTAGAAAGAGTTGTTGGTTATATGAGCATGAATGTGGTCTTACAGGAGAGAGAAGGATGATGAACAAGGGAGAGAAGAGAGTTGATTATATTTTTCATTACCTTAAACTGAAGGTTACAGCAGAACTTTATACACATACAGACACTATTGCACCTAACCATTAAATATATTTTACTCCAAAAAACATCCTAACCATACATTCTTAGCAACTCTGATTGCATCACATTAATAAGATACAAATTTGACAACCAAAATATATGCTGAATTCACCAAAAAACATCACTTCAACATGCTTACATATCAGCTATAGGAACTGCTCCAGACCAGTTTCCAAACTTCAAACTTTTCTTTTGCTGCCAGAACACTGCTCCAGTTTAATGCAAAATATTGCTTCAAGCAAAATATCACTCCTTTAAACACTCCTCCTTGATATTTCTGCTTGAGACACCAAGTTTAAGCTTCATTTCTTCAAACTTGGACTTACATAGGGACTTAGTAAATATGTCAGCCAATTGCATTTGCCCCTTGCAGTGTGTCAATCTGATTTCTTCGGATTGCTCAGCCTCCCTCACTGCATGAAACTTGATTTTTATGCGCTTAGTTCGACCATGCATGATTGGATTCTTAGTTATTGCAACAGCCGATTGATTATCACAAAAAATTTCAATAGGCTCACACTGCTTTACCTCCATATCAGCCAGCAAATTTCTCAATCAAATAGCTTGATTTACTGCAGCTGCAGTTGATATGTATTCAGCCTTTGCAGTGGATTGTGCCACTACTTCTTGCTTCTTCGAAGACTAACGAAATGCACCATAATTCAGTAGGAATACATACCCTGATGTGCTTCTCATGTCATCACAGGAGCCTCCCTAATCATTGTCTGCATACCCTATCAATCTAAAATTTTCAAATTCCCTAAACCAAATTCCCTGATCTGCAGTTCCTCTAATGAATCTCAGTACCCTCTTAGCTGCTTTAAGATGCTCCTCACTTGGTTTGCTCATAAATCTCGATAGGAGACTAATTGTAAACATCAGATCAAGCCTTGTTGCTGTTAGGTACAACAAGCTCCCAATCATTCTCCTATAATCTGTCTCATCCACCGGGGCTGCTCCATCATCTTTGCATAGCCTTTGATTTTGCACCAAAGGTGTGGCAACTTACTTGCATTCATCCATCCCAAATTTCTTAAGCATCTCATTAGCATATCTCCTTTGACAAATGAAGATGTCATTTTGAGATTGATGAATTTCCATTCCAAGGAAGAAAGTCATCACTCCCAAATCAGTCATCTTAAACTCTTTGTGCATTACTTTCTTGAACTTTTCAACCTAAATTGCATTGTTTCCTGTCACCAACAAATCATCCACGTACAAGGAAACCATAATCACATCTTCATTGGCTTTTTTTTACATACAAATTATGATCATTGGGGCTTCTTGCATAACCTAGGCTGACTAGGTAGTCATTGATTCTGCTGTACCAAGCTCTTGGAGCTTGTTTCAGGCCATATAAGGCCTTTCTCAATAAGTACACCTGGTCTTCTTTCCCTTTGACTTCATATCCCTCATGTTCAACAAAAATCTTCTCATCCAACCAACCATTCAAGAAAGCTGACATAACATCCATTTGATACACTTTCCACTTGAATTGGGCTGCCAAAGCTAGAACTAACCTTATTGTATCATGTCTTGCAACCGGGGCAAATGTATCTTGGAAATCTACACCATGTTGTTATGCAAATCCTTTCACAACTAACCTGGCTTTGTGCTTCAAAACTAAACCATTAGGATTCAGTTTTTTTTTTTTTAAGATCCACTTTACCTAGATCACATTCCTCCCGGCAGGCCTGTCCGCAAGTTCCCATGTTCCATTCTTTTCTATCATGGACAACTCCTCCTGCATAGCAAGTCTCCATTTCTTTGACTTAGTTGCTTCATGATAAGATGTTGGTTCAAGCAATGCAACATTGCATCTCCCATAAATCTCAACAAGAGGTCTGATTCCCCTGACTGAAATTTCTTCTTCTGTTTCAGAATCTGCCCCATCAATTTAGTCAGCAATTTGTTCTCCTTGCTGTGGCCGTGGATCTACTTGAATTTTCTTCTCTTCCCAATTCCACACTGACCTCTCATCAACCTTTGCATCCCTTGAAACAACTACCTTTCTTGACTCTAGAATGAAGATCCTGTAAGCCTTGGATTGGAGGCTGTAACCTACCAGAATTCCAGCCGTTGCTTTGTCATCAAGCTTTGATCTTTTGATGGCTGGTATGAGTACATAACATATACTCCCAAATACTCTTAGATGATCCACTTGAGGCTTAACTCCATACCATGCTTCAAATGGAGTTTGATCCTTTAAAGCTTTGGTTGGAAGCCTATTTAGCAAATACACACTTGTATTGACAGATTCAACCCATAATTCCTTTGGCAGCTCTTTTTCAGTCAGCAACCACCTAGACATCTCCATTGCTGTCCTATTTTTTCTCTCACTCACTCCATTTTGTTGAGGAGTGTAGGGAAAACTAAACTGATGCCATATTCTAGCCTCCCTGCAAGTTGATTCAAACTCATTTGAGGTGTATTCACCTCCATTGTCACTTCTCACAGCCTTGATCTTTACTCCAGCTTGGTTTTCAACTTCAGCTTTAAACCTCCTAAACACAGCAGCCACTTCTCCATTTTGCTTTAGGAAGTACACCTGAGTTATTCTTGAATGATCATCAATAAATAAGATGAAAAATCTAGATCCATTCAGGGATGTGGTCTGCATTGGTCCACACACATCAGTGTGCACCAATTGAAGCTTTCCAGTAGCTCTCTAGGCCTGATTTGTAGGAAAGGCTGGTCTGCTAAGCTTCCTTATTTGGCATACTCTACATAAACTCTCTTTCTCTTCCATTTCGGGTAAGGTGTGTACCATCCCTTTAAGCTTCATTTGCTTAAGTCCAGCATAATGGTTATGACCATATCTTTTATGCCATAGGTTTGTATCATCTGAATTCACTGTCATAGCATGAAACTCTGGTTTTTTAAGTTCAACTGGGAAGCTTCTCCCAACCATTTTCACATGCATCATCACCTTTCCCTCATCATCTAATATAGTGCAGGTTTTATTTTCAAAATGCAGAACATAATTTCTTTCAAGCATTTGTCCTACACTAAGTAGACTTTGGTTAATTTCAGGAAAAAATAATACATTGTAAATAATCTTTGTACCTGTCATGGTCTACACAGCCACATCTCCCCTGCCTTTAACTTTCATAAGTTCACCATTTCCCACCTTTACACTTGACTGGTATGCTTGATCCAACTTCACAAAATTCTCCAGATCAGGCGTCATGTGGTTTGTACATCCACTATCAATGAGCCAAGTTTCAGCATTGAACTGAACAGCATAGCAGGATGCCACAAATAGCTACTCAGATTCAGAATTCTGCTGCAAATCTTTAACAGTTTGTGCTTGTTGTGCAAGTTGCTATTGTTTGTTTTAATAGACCTTTTCAATATGGCCTAACTGCTTGCATGCCCTGCATTGAACATTTGGCCTGAACCAGCACTTGTACTCAGCATGGTTCTTCTTTTTACAGTGGGAACATGGTGCAAAACTCCTAAAACCTGCTGGTTTGTTCCACTGATTGTTTACTCTCTCCTTTTCTCTTTTCTCTCCTACAAACTTCTTGTTTCCTCCCTCAGTTGGTTTGCCCTTCTGCTGGACAAACAATGCAGCTTCACCACTATCCTCTTGCCTCAGTTTTCTTCTTTGCACTTGGGCTTGAAGAGCATGGACAAGTTCGGTTAAGGTGATTTGAGACAAGTCTTTGGAATCCTACAAAGAAGAGATTTTTGATTCAAACCTTTCGGGTAGGCTTACTAACACCTTTTCAACAATTCTTTTATCACTTATCTCCTCCCCTAACAATCTTATCTTGTCAACCACATTCATTAATCTATCTACATACCCTTTAACCACTCCAGCCTCTTGCATTTTTAATGTGTCAAACTCTCTCCTTAGGTTCAAGACTTGCATGTTTTTGGTTTGGGTGCTTCCTCCAAATTCTTCCTTAAGCTTGTCCCAAGCTTGCTTTGCTATCTCACAAGCCATTATCCTTGTGAAAACTTGATCAGTGACTGTAGCATGTAAATGGGACAGGGCTCTTGGAGCTTTTGCAGTCTCCTCTTCATGGAGTCTTATCTGGTTCAAGGTTGGGTTTGGTCCCAACTGTGGTGGTTGTTTCTCTTCTTTTACATACTGTCATAAACTCTGACCTCTCAAGTAAGCCTTCATCTTAACAGCCCACATATGGTATTGTTCCCCATTAAAGGTTGGAGGCAAGATTGAGGCTGAACTTGTTGCCACTAAGTTTGTCTTTGGTGAGATAAGGACTGACAGAGAGTGTGCAAAGATGGAGGTTTTGCAGGCCCCTTAAATCAAGGTGTTGCTCTGATACCTCTTGTTGGTTATATAAGCATGAATGTGGTCTTACGGGAGAGAGAAGAGAGTTGATTATATTTTTCATTACCTTAAACTGAAGGTTACAGCAGAACTTTATACACATACAGACACTATTGCACCTAACCATTAAACATATTTTACTCCAAAAAACATCCTAACCATACATTCTTAGCAACTCTAATTACATCACATTAATAAGATACAAAGTTGACAACCAAAATACATGTTGAATTCACCAAAAAACATCACTTCAACATGCCTACATATCAGCTACGGGGACTACTCCAAACCAGCTTCCAAACTTCAAACTTTTCTTTTGCTGCCAGAACACTGCTCCAGTTTAATCCAAAATATTGCTTCAAGCAAAATATCACTCCTTTGAACAAGAGTTGGATAAGTGATACATCCAAACCCACTAAATAAGGTAAGTAGAACAATATGTAATGATCATAATTCTCCACTAAATGAGGTGGGTACGTAACTACCTTATGGATTGTCAAGATTGGAGGATTTATTATAGTTTGTTTTAGCGTGTATTTAGTTATCGGAAGTTATTAAAATAAAACTATTCGATGAATTTTGTTCGAATCTTTGCTGTAGGAAATTCATATCAATATTATCGTTAGAGTTTTATCTGTTGGAAATTAGAAGCAAGGAAATACAATTTCAAGCTTCTAATTTCAGAAAGATAAAGAAGAAGATGCACTTGTGTAAAAGGAGAACAATTTTATTAACTGAACATACATTTAATCTTCCCTTTTATAAGTTTTAAAAGAATAACTGACAACGACAGTTGCAAAAAGTTACAAAATAATAAAACTAAAAATAACTTCTATTTGAGTTTATCTCAAACTGAAATTCTTGGGTCATGCCACTATCAAAAGATTCATACTTCAACATTATCTTTGCGTTTGCAGATTCACATATAGCAATCAACTCTGGTGGCAAAAAGTTTGCCAAGTATGAAGCCGACGATACAGATATCGGTGAAGCTTCTTTTGTTGTACTTAATTCGGAAAAATGGGCAATTAGTAATGTGGGTTTTTTGTTTACTGAGGGAGGACAAGCATTAAACACACTAGCTCAAAATACCGGAACCAAAGTAATTAACAGTAACACTACACCCCCAGATCTTTATCAGACTTCAAGAAAATCGATTGGCTCACTTAGATATTATGGACTTGGTCTTGAGAATGGGCCTTACAATGTAAGCTTGTTCTTCGCCGAAATAGTTTATGAAGATCGAGACTCAAGAAAATGGGGGAGCCTTGGAAGGCGTGTTTTTGATATCTATATCCAGGTAAACAATTCGGTAAAAGAAAATATTATTTGGAGATCCTGTGATTCATACCCTTATTATGTACAGATTCTACTATTACAATTGCATCTAATAATTTTTACACAGAAATATGAATGGTATCTCTCATCATTTGTCTTGTAGGGAACTCGTCGGTGCAAAGATTTTGACATATCAAAGGAAGCAGGTGGGGTTAGAAGAGCAATTAGGAAGAGCTTTAATGCTAATGTGACTGAGAACCATCTTGAAATTCACCTATTTTGGGCTGGTAAAGGGACCTGTTGCATACCTGGAGATGGTAGTTATGGACCATTAATTTCTGCTCTTAGTGTCACTCCAGGTAAACTATGTGATTTCTTTGAGTCTTAATCTATTTAAGGTGAATTACTATAACTGTGCTAATGTGCTTTATGCTAATATAACTGAATTTTACTACTCAGAATTCCGACCAACTGTTGGTATTGAACAAAAGAACCAGATTATGTTGATTGTTGGTATTGCAGTCCCTCTTTCAATTTTGGGCTTCACACTGATGGTTTTAGTTTTTTATACGAGGATGAAAGGAGACAATAATGATGCGGAAGGTAAGAGCACCCATGACAACTTAACGATAATAGTAGTCTTAAAATCTCTGATACCAAGTTTCTTCTTGAAAATTAATGGATTCCACTTTTCGCTTCGTCTCAAAGTTAAAAGGTTCTCTGGGAATTTGAGAAAAGTAGATTCCATAATATAGTTATAAGAAAAGTGTTGAACTCTGTTCTAGCACTCCTGAACATAGCCAAGGCTAATGTTGTAATTCATCTCCTTGTACTTCAAATCCTTCCATCTCATGTAATCTTTTATCTTGCTTCCATATGCAGTGTTACTAGGAATACGACCTAAACTGAAAACTTTCAGTTATGCTGAGTTGAGATCTGCAACAAAAGACTTCAACCCTTCAAATAAGCTAGGAGAGGGAGGATTTGGACCTGTGTACAAGGTATTTTTTTGTCTTACATTTACTAGTTGCAACCTATAGATAGTTTGCTTGGAACTTGGGTTGCGGCGGATTATGTAATAATGTATGGTCATAGCTAGACTAGGTTGATTTTACCTTTCAAATTTTCACCGAGGAGCGATATGATTTGTGTTATTAAATCTGGTGCTACAGGGTGTGCTTTCTGATGGAAGGATAATAGCTGTGAAGCAACTTTCACTGGAATCCCACCAGGGGAAAAATCAGTTTATTAATGAGATTGCTTCCATAACTGCAGTGCAACATCGCAATCTTGTGAAATTGTATGGATGTTGTATTGAAGGAACTAGGCGCCTACTTGTTTATGAATATCATGAAAACAACAGTCTTGATAAAGTATTATTTGGTATGATCTTTAATAACCATCCTTGGGTAATTTTAAAACTAATGTTGATAATTAATACTCAACCTTAATTCAGGAAATATGAGGTTTCATCTCGACTGGCCTACCCGATTTAAAATATGTTTGGGAACCGCAAAAGGTCTAGCATATCTTCACGAGGAGTCAGAACCAAAGATTGTACATCGAGATGTCAAAACAAGCAATATTTTACTTGATACAGAACTCTGTCCCAAGATATCAGATTTTGGATTGGCAAAGTTGTTTGATGATAAGAAAACTCACATCAGCACGGGTGTTCAAGGCACCATGTAAGCTCCTTCAATCATTTCACGATTACCATGTCTTCCATAACAGCTTGTTTTGGATTATAACCTTTAGAAATACTTAAATATCTTGCAGTGGTTATCTGGCACCAGAGTATGCAATGCGTGGGCACCTGACAAATAAGGTTGATGTATTCAGTTTTGGTGTTGTTGCTTTGGAGATTATCAGTGGAAGAGCAAGCTCTCATACTAACTTGGATGGGGAAAAGATTTATCTTCTTGAATGGGTAAACAAAATAAACTTGGAACTTGATTTTTTTTATTTAGTTTCTTTTTCAATTGTTTATATGTTATTTCTAGGCTTGGAGTCTTCATGAAAGCAACCAAAGTTTGGGACTGGTAGATCCCACACTGACAGAGTTCGATGAAAATGAAGTTTTTCGAGTAATAGCGGTGGGTCTCTTGTGCACTCAAGCATCACCAATGTCAAGGCCACCAATGTCCCGAGTTGTGAACATGCTTACTGGAGACATAGAAATTGGAGCTGTTACATCGAAGCCAAGTTATTTGACTGATTGGAATTTTAAAGATGAAACGAGCAGCTTTATTATGGATAGCGATATTGGCACATCTTCATCTACGGCAAGTTACAGCAAGAATAAAAGTGACAATCCAAATGATCTTAGCCGAGGAGTTGACCCACTAGTCTCTCCACTAAATGTCAGCCAGTTCAGTGATATAATAGCAGAGGGAAGGTAAGAAATATCTTCACTTACTGGAACTGAGTGAATGATGTATCTGCATGCCCTATTCTATTGTTGGTAGCATTTCCAAACTCAAACTATAGTAGACTTTTAGTGTTGGAAAGTCTTCCTTGCAGACCAATAATATTAGACAGTTGATTGGAAGACCATCACACGATGAGTATAGTGAGAAAAAATTATGTGTTTGTTATTGTAGTATCGCTTCTGTAAAATTTTATATGGACTTTCTGGATAAATTTCTACTATATTATGGTATATATGATGATTTGAATAATTAATGAATACCTAAATTTTCTATTTTTCTCCCCTTTCTATTCTTCTTTAGTTTCTTCCATTTCTTGCTACACCTCTCCTTTAACTCTATCCTTTATTTTCCTTCTTTAATTAACCAAATTTCTATAGTTAAGAAATTTTCAACTGGGAAAATACAACTCATTATACTACCAGAAAAGCGTTATGCCCCCATGCAGACACAACGCCAGGAAACAATTTTTCTGTGTGACAGCTACCCTTCGCAACACCGACGACTCACCCTGATACCGATGAATGTGTTTGTGCAAAGTCATTTTCTCTGATGCTTAATTATGCTGGCCATGCCAGGCCAGCATTCAAGTGCAGTGGAACAGTCCTAACTCCATAAACTCATTGGCTCTAGGAGTATTCGTATTCGATGCACAATGGCATTGGTCTATGTACACTTTTGTTATATGAATTTTGGGGGGAACTGCAACAGCCGAGACCAGTACGGAGATATGGCAGGTTGAGCCATAGTTAAAAGTGCAGTCACATTTGATAGCAGGATTATTAATAGGGTCCTCAAATTCAGTAACATTGATAGTAGTTCCACTGCATGGCTCTCCACTTATGTTCCATAATCCTTCCACTGCCTTTGCAGTTTGCACCTCATTGCTCAAATATTGAATTTCATGCCCTCATTAGAGCGGAGAATTTTGGCCCAAGCCCAAAAAACTAAACCTAGGAGCGGTCCTATAAGGATCAGGCCCAAAGAGGAGGGACCGATACTAAGGTCGATCCCTCCTCCAGGGCCCAAGCCCAAACCCCCACCCTTATTTCATTTAAACCCCTAGCAAATATCAACAGTCCCTACTTTATATGAAATTGACAATAAATATAAGGGTTAAAATATAATTTTATAAATTAGAGGGCTAAATGATATTATTGAGGCCCATAGGACCAGTCCGAGCTTGAGAAATCTCATGGACCCAGAATTGGGTCCTTAAGGATTTGGGCCCGAGCCTTCAAAGACTAGTCCCAATTTGGGCCCGATCCTTGAGGGCCCAAATTTTTTGTAATAATTTTACATAATGGCTAATGCTTGTCAAATAGTAACTTGTAATGGGCATTGAAGTTCAAAATATCACATCAACTAGAGGTAATTTCATCTCTAATCTCATTACAATTGTATTTGTTCTCAATTTGATTTAATTATAGAATAGAAAACAATATATATTGATGTTGAGTTCTTTGATTCTTTTATATTTTTTATCAATGCAATAATATAATATTTCAAAGCAGAAAATCAAAGTGGACAATTATTCTTCCTTTTTTAAAATACTAGTCCACAATTTGTGGGGTGAAAAAGACCACCAAAATCAATGTAATTATTAGAAAAAGTGACCCTTAAATAAGAGTAAACCAAATATAAAGATAATCAAAATTTATTAAATATAGAATTAAAATTATTGCTAGTAAATAATTTCTTGCATATAAGAATTTTTTTTTTTTTTTTTTTTTTTTTTTTTTTTTTTTTTTTTTTTGTCATTAAATTGAAAGACAAAATTATTGTATACATAAGTTAACTTTGGAATATGAATTTTTTTTTAAAAAAAATGAGAATATCCTTAGGAAACACTAATTGTAAGGATAATTTTCCTTTTTTATATATCATATCGAACTTTAAATTTTTGTCAACACAATTCAATTAAATCATATGAAAGGTTCATAATAATATTACAAAATCAAAGAGTTGATGTTTTTCCTCAAGATGTCCTTGAATATATTTCCTTCTTCGTATCTAAAGTAACAATTTATTCTTTGTTGTCGTGTTCCGTCAAGGTTTTGATATTCAATTTAACAAATCATGATATACTACCTAAGAGATAGATGATAAAAAGCATAACAACATATTGACGACAAGGTGTAAATCGGTTTTTTTCAGATATCTTGGGGAGTTTTATTCACGGAAAGCTCGGGAAATTTTATAAAACCCAAAATTAATTAAAAATAATAAATCATAATTTATTTTGATATATAATCAATATTTGAAACTATCCAAAAATATCGGTATTGGCCTTCATCATAATTGTTGAATAAGACTACTATGAAAACATATTCTAAAAGTTTCTAAATATGACCTAATGGGATCTTCATTTCTATGTTCCCATTAATTTAAAAAGTATGACTAATTAAGCCGTTTTGTTGATACGAGAATCGCACCAACCTGAGGTGATCCGATTGACCTTGGTGAAATCAAAACTATTGTGTGCATATTAAAATAACCATAATTGTATATAAAAGTGCAATAAATGTAAAGAACACAATCAATTTTAAAATAGTTACCAAGTTAGAACTTAAGCTTACGTCGACTATTTTCTTATGTGTTAGAGAGCTTACAAAAAATATATAATGGCCTAAAACAACTTGCTAACCCCTCTCTCATCATTGGGGGGTTAATATACAAGTTTGTAAAGAAGAAAAGAGAGAAACTATTTGATTGCAATCAAATTAGAATTGCAATTTCGATATTCTCGTGATTACGCTAATATGCATCATCATTGTTGTTTATCTAAATATCCAAGATTGAGATTATCTATGTTTTGTCGAACAATTGTCAGAGTTGGTTGCGACTAGTTTATGCTGAGTTGAGCTATATCCCGACAAGCTTATGTTGGATTCGAATAAGTGTTGAACCGAACTGATATGGATCGAACTATATCCTCGTGGGATTCTGACTTCTCCGAACTTGATGGAAAAATCACACACAACCCCTTTTGAGATGACTAAATCAATGGTTTAGAATATAAAATTTAATTTTTTTGACCAATAATATTAAAATGATGTGCTAAGTTAATTTTTTTTTTTTAATGTTGATTTATATAAAGACTTCCCTAATCAATTCAATCGTGTATAAAACAAATAATAATATCTTAAAAAAAAGGATTACCTATTATTATCTGATGGACCTCAATCTCATATGTATGGAATTCATTTGTTCAAACAATATTTGGTAAGAATTTTGCAATTTTGTTTATCATTGTTGAGCACAATGTGAAATGAGAAAACTGTTGGATGAAGATGTTTTCACACTTTATATGCACTCTAAGATTAGTTCTATTGATATATACTGTAAGTTTTAAGATAAATTTCACTACCATTTCAGAGGTTTTTCTACTTGTATGGAGATTCCAGTTGTTTAAAATTCTCATTTCCCTGCCATAAATGAATACCCTAAGACTCTAAGACATATAACATAATTAATATCTAACAAATGCAACTCCAGCTGAAACTATGAGTAGCCTAATATTTCATCACCTAGCCCATATTTTAGCTCAAATATTAAGCCTTACCTCTACATATAATTTGTTGAAGGAAGATGGTGGATATAATAAAATGAAAGAGTTTGCTAGGTACGAGTTGGTGTGCGTGACTCGCTGTCATTTTGGAAAAGTCAAGGTTGAAGACTCAATAGTTATTAAGAAGAGAAGTTTCTAAGTCCGAAAGCAGTTAAACCTATCAGAAGAACGTTTAACTTTGAAAATTCATAAAAACTCTGCGGAATTAATAATTATTCCACAGTATAGCTTTAGCTTTGGTATTCTATACTTAGGGGAGGGTTTCACGCATGTTGCCAGCATGTAATTAGTAATTAGTCTAATCTTATTCTGTTTATTGATTTTGGTGCTGATGCTCAAGTTGGGCTCGACTTTTAATGAGACAAAAAGAGTATTCAATTTAATAATTCATCCTAATTTCTGATTGTATAAATCATATAAAGACGAAAATACCCCTATTTCAGTTGGAGAAAATGTACTAGATTAGAAGAGAATATATACTTTTTAAGTGAAATTTGATAATAATTGAAAGTTAATGATACGCTCCTAAGACTTGATTCAATAATAAAATTCTCTTAATATTAAGTTGTAAGTATTAATATAAAAGGTTGGAACGAGTGAATATTTATTAACTCATATAGTATAAATTTTAACTAATTTCAGTGGCATGAGGAGTTTTATTGTTTCAAAAACAGCAGAATTTATTTTTTTGTTATTACATCAAACTTCAAAAGGATCAATGCATTTAATTATATATTCAATCTAGAAATGTTTGTTTCACATTGTATTATAACATCATCATACTTATCCATAAATCAAACAAATTTTTATTATTTTTTAGTTGTTAATATATTTAAAAAAATAATTTAATCAAAATAAATGATTTTTATACATAAAATCAAACAAAAACGCTATGAAACAAACCCATATAAACATATAAACGCACTCACTATGCATAAAAACTTCATAAAATCCCTGTTAGCAAGAGAGGGTTATTTTTTGTCTTTATGTAGTTTTATGATGACTAGACCTTGGTCAAACATGATATATTTATTAAACCCCTCAGAAAATTCCAATCTACCCCAAAACTTCTTAAAATAACTAGTTCAGCCCGTCTTGCATGACTAGTATCACTGCCAGACTTCCTCCTCCTTCTCTGCCAATAAGAAGCCGCTTCCTTCTTCTTCTTCTTCATCTTTCGCTCATTTATTCTGCATTTGCTTCATTGTTTTCTTCATCTTACAAGAATCAACTGCTCAAACTGCCACTACTGATCATATTGAAGGGACATTCTCTTACTCTTCAAAAAATGAGAATATCCTTAGGAAACACTAATTGTAAGGATAATTTTCCTTTTTTATATATCTATATCGAACTTTAAATTTTTTGTCAACACAATTCAATTAAATCATATGAAAGGTTCATAAATAATATTACAAAATCAAAGAGTTAAATGTTTCTTTCCTAAGATGTCCTTGAATAATAATTTCCTTCTTCAGATATCTAAAGTAACAATTTATTCTTTGTTGTCCGTGTTCCGTCAAGGTTTTGATATTCAATTTAACAAATCAATGATATAATACCTAAGAGATAGATGATAAAAAGCATAACAACATATTGACGACAAGGTGATAAATCGGTTTTTCAGATATCTTGGGGGAGTTTTATTCACGGAAAGCTCATGGGAAATTTTATAAAACCCAAAATTAAATTAAAAATAAATAAATCATAATATTTTGATATAATAATCAATATTTGAAACTATCCAAAAATATCGGTATTGGCCTTCATCATAATTGTTGAATAAGACTAATATGAAAACATATTCTAAAAGTTTCTAAATATGACCTAATGGGATCTTCATTTCTATGTTCCCATTAATTTAAAAAGTATGACTAATTAAGCCGTTTTGTTGATACGAGAATCGCACCAACCTGAGTGATCCGATTGACCTTGGTGAAATCAAAACTAATTTGTGCATGATTAAAAATAACCAATAATTGTATATAAAAAGTGCATAAATGTAAAGAACACAATCAATTTTTAAAATAGTTTAACAAGTTAGAACTTAAGCTTACGTCGACTATTTTCTTATTGCTTTAGAGAGCTTACAAAAAATATATAATGCCTAAAACAACTTGCTAACCCCTCTCTCATCATTGGAGGGGGTTAATATACAAGTTTGTAAAGAAGAAAAGAGAGAAACTATTGGGATTGCAATCAAATTAGAATTGCAATTTCGATATTCTCGTGATTGTACGCTAAGATTGCATCATCATTGTTGTTGATCTAAATATCCAAGATTTGAGATTATCTATGATTTGTCGAACAATTGTCAGAGTTGGTTGCGACTAGTTTATGCTGAGTTGAGCTATATCCCGACAAGCTTATGTTGGATCGAATAAGTGTTGAACCGAACTGATTATGGATCGAACTATATCCTCGTGGGATTCTGACTTCTCCGAACTTGATGGAAAAATCACACACAACCCCTTTTGAGATGACTAAATCAATGGTTTAGAATATAAAATTTAATTTTTTTGACCAATAATATTAAAATGATGTGCTAAAGTTAATTTTTTTTTTTTAATGTGATTTATATAAAGACTTCCCTAATACAATTCAATCGTATATAAAACAAATAATAAATATCTTAAAAAAAAGGATTACCTATTATTATCTGATGACCTCAATCTCATATGTATGGAATTCATTTGTTCAAACAATATTTGGTAAGAATTTTGCAATTTTGTTTATCATTGTTGAGCACAATGTGAAANAAAATAAAGCTAGTTTGCATTATTATTTATCTTGTTATTAATGTTATATGAAACAACAAATTGGAAGTCTACAATTTAAAACACTATATCGAGAAGATGATATAGCATATTTTTTATAGGCAAAACAAGCTACACAATATCTTCAATTAGTAAATTTAGAAAACACTTTTAGATGAAATAGAGAGAGAACTGAAACACTATGATGCTATTACACTTTTTTCATAGAAACCTAGTTCACTGGGCTCAGATGCTATTGCGCTTTTTCATAACAACTTTTATCACAATGTTTTATTTACAATTGAGTCATATAATTAGACAAAAATTATATAAAATTCATATAAAATGACTACTTTATCTTTTATTTTTTATCTAGTTATATGACTCATTTATATAATTAAATTGTAAACATAACATTGTTTTAAGTGTTCATCTTATAAGGAAACATAGTGGCTTTATATATTATTTCTTCGCCCATACAAATCAATAACATTAAAAGGCCACATGTCAAAAGCATGGTCATGTGTCATCAATTTGTGTGGTGCATAGCCACCTATTTTATAACATTCTCTTTAATCCCCACACGACTTTCCAACTTACTAGAAATAATTGTGTTTCTTTTTTAAATGTAGCATTTTAATGTCCAAGGGTCCTTTGTTTTTTTTTTTTTTTTTTTTTTTTTTTTTTTTTTTTTTTTTTTTTTTTTTTTTTTTTTTTTTTACTAGAGTGTCTGAGTCAGTTTGCGCATATCTCAACTAATTATCGGAATCCATTGAACACCCTACAAGTTCAATGAGCCAAATAAATTACAAATGTGGTAAGCAACCACTTGGTGAGACTCAAACACAAAACATCTGGGTGATTTAAGGTCTTGTCATCTGACTACAAGCCAAGTGGTTAAATCAAGTGTCTATTGATTTGTATGGGTGGTGGATTAGTATATAAAAACTAGTAAGATTAACACAAACAGTCTGAACTAGGTTTTTATGAAAGAAATGCGATAACATCTTAAGCCTCCAATTCTCCCTGATAATGTCTTTTAAATTCACTGGTCTAAGATGTTGTGTAACTTGTTTTGTCCATAGATGGTAAGTCTATTCATCTTCTTGATTGAGAGCTTTGAATTGTAGACTTGTAATATCGAAATCTTCAAGACTACAATACTGTAAGATAGTTGTTGACTACAAACAAGACGTATTTTACATTTTAGATGTAAATTTGGTATTATCACAACAATATTGAGAGCATCATATTCAGAGACATTTAGAACTAATTATGTGCCTCTCGGTTACTGAAAATACAAAGACAATTTTTTTATATATACATATATACTAATAAAATATAATTAAAATTAAAGTTTAAAGTAATATTTCCCCTAAGGTTTCATTGAATAAATATTTCCCCTTCAAGCATTTGAAATAACAATTTATTCCATTCCATCAATGTTCTTTACTAGTAATTACAATGAAGGTCCCCAACCCCTTCTTCGTCATCTTCACTAAAAATTGTCAACCATAATCATGAATGAGATGAGTTCACTAAGATAAGTATTGTAGGTGGAATTTAACGTAACATTACATTTATGATCAGACTATTTTGATGACTGTCATGGTGGCCCTAAATTATGTTCTGTTTTGGTGGAGGGAAATAGGTGCAGGCTATGATAGTCATGCTGTGTGCTTCTTTGTGTGGAATGGGTGACGTCTTGGCAGGCATGATAATTGTTGGACCAGCAGCTTGTGTTTGAGTTTGTGTTTTGTTTTGAACCTTTTTGCTAAGGCCTTGTTTTTCATTGGACTTAGTGTTAAATGGATTGTATATCCTTTTGTTATCTTGGCCTTTTTGTGGTCTGTCCAAGGTTTTTTTTTGCCTTGAAAGGGAGTTCTCCATCGTTGTATTTTTTTTATTGAGAATAATTTAATGAATGCTTTAGTTTGGCAGTGTTATGGACCACTTTAGTTAAGTTTTTGAAATATTGTACATGATTACATAAGATTATTGTGATCAAATTAGAGTTAATATGAATAAGTTGTTGAGAGGGATCAATGGAATTTCTCCTTTTCTTATGTTCTTGAGATTAATTTTCATAACTTGGATACCAATAAGAAGTTTTGGATACAATTGAAGGTATCTGTGAAGTATTTTTATATAGCTTCTTGATAGAAGTGTTGATGGCTTGAACTTGATGCTGCTTAATATATCAAACATTTACATGTGGTCAATCTGTGCCAACACTTCTCCCCTTTAAGGCATGATGTAAAAGGCATCTTGATTCAGTGCCAATGTTCAATACTATTGATACTGCTAATATACTGCTGATCTTTCTAAATTTATTAACTATATGAATTTCTTGTAAAAGATAAATACGCGAATCAATAACTGTACCCCCTCAGCTCCATAGCATTTGATGTCTTATATTAAATTCTACTGATTCATTTTGTTGAGCATACATTATCCTTATGTGCATTTTAAGACTTCTTGCATGTGGAGATGAATTATTAGATAGTCCTGAACATAGTAAATTAAAGTCTATGTATTATTCAAAAGGATTTGCTAGATTGATGTTTGGGAATATTCTGGAAATAAATGCTTTATCATTTCTATCTTTGCAGGCTACTACCTTATCATGTGGTAACAGACTATGAAGCAGAGGAAGATGATAGAATCCTTGATTCTGTCACAACATTCCAAATGCTTTCTCGCTCCCAGCAGTGGGATAACAAGATTGCTGCCAAAGTTGCGGAGTTCACAGGAACATTGGAGAAACAGGCCCTTGCTTTTAACATAATAACCCTTAAGTGAGCTATAGGTGATTTCTGATGTGAGGAGACGTTGATGAAAATATCTATTTTACCCCATTATATCACTTATAAAAATCAAAATAACTTTCTTTTTCTTCATTTTTATTTTCTTTTCCTTTCATTTTCCGTACATATATGAAAAATCTAATACTGTTGGCAGTGCATAAGGATGATTTTGCCAACATTCTAGGTTTTCAATTTCCACACCATATAATACCCCACCATTTTATAAAGTATAGCAAAAAAATTCGCCCTTCAAAGTTTGGCGAAAATTTCTAACCCACAAGTTTTGAAAACTGACACTACTTACCTAAAAAGCTAACGCAAATATCATATTTTCAACGTTTCAAATATCTTTCATTGTGAATTTAACCGTTAATATTACGAACATAGATATTCTATGTCACATGACAAAGATTATTTGATTACATCCGTACCTAATATTTTCAAAAAGTATTAAAATGTTCATGTCGTTAGTATGTATTGTGAGTCAATTAGTTTATCTGATACTCAACTAAAATAATTAAATATCTACTTTAATCTTTTATATCATTTATCAATCAAAATTGAAATGATTTTCTTTCTCATTTTCTTTGATTTTTTTTTTTTTTCAAAAAACTATCAATCTTAATCATAGGAATGGGAACATAATTTGTTATTCTTACAATGGAAACCATTAATTGGATGAAAAGTCGAATAATATGGCCACATATTGTATGTGTTGGGATATTATGGCTCGCTTTTCTATTTATTCCCGTGTAAAATTGTATGTCTTTAGGAAAACTATTTAATAAATAATATAATTGTAAATAGAAATAAAATTTAGGAGTCTTAATAGGAATTGAAATATGAATCCTATTAGAAATAGAATATCTCATATACTATCTATAAATATAGGGGTGAGAACCAATTCAAGGTTATGAAAAAATGAGAGAATGTCAGAACATAAAGTATTTGATGTAAGGGTTATTAAACACCATGGGGATAATGTCTTAGAAATTGGGATTGTTTCCACTCTAGGTACTGAGTTGAACGTGATTAGAAACTAAGATTGTTTCCATTCTGTTTCATGAAACTATAATGGATTTCTTATATCTGTGAATATAAGCGGGTTAATCCGAACCACATAAATATCGTGTCTCTTAGTGTGAAATGATATTATTCCTATGTTATTTATCTAGAATGTATGATTTCTGCTGTATGATCTCCTAACAAGTGGTATCAAAGCTCTAAGTTGCGACCTAGGGAGATAAGTTATTTCGAGATGGTGATGTACATAAGAGACAGACTACAACAAGTTTAAGTTGTAGGTGGAGTGGTTCTCAAATCATGGTGGCAAAATTTGACATGGTTACTGTGCAACCTGGTTCGATGCTAGCAAAATTTGACAAAGTTACTCTATGACTTGGATGTTGTGATGGTGGAGCATTGTCTTTGTCATGTTCATTGCTGTGATGGAAAATTCTCATGTTTATTCCTATGATGGAAAACTCTCATGTTCATCGCTTTGACGGAAAACTCGTCAACGTGAAGATTGTTGAGATATTGTGGCTCACTTTCTTATTTGTTCCCTTGCAAAATTATTTTTTATTTAGGAATACAATTAGAAATATGAATATAATTGTATGAGGAATTAAAATAAAATTCCTATTAGGATTTAAGTCTTATTAGGAATAGTGTCCCATGTATTATCTATAAAAAGGTGTTAAGTCTTAGAGTTAGAGACAACAAAAGAATAAAAGGCAAAGCCACAATTAGAGAGTGAGAGCCACCAAATAGAGTTTAGTGAGTGAGTTAATTTGTGAGGCTTGAGAGTCTCTTGTAATTTTCCTTCTTCTTCAAAATGAAATTCTGTAGCAACAAAGTGGACATAACTTTCATACGGAGAGTGAACCACTATAAATCTTGTGTTTATGTGTGGTTATTTTTTTTGTCATTTGTTTGCATTATTTTCGCTTTCAGGGATTTATGATTTGTTGATATCTAATTAAATACCCATAACAATTGATATCAAAGCTCTAAATTGTGACCTCCGGAGATAAGTTATTTCGAAATGGTGGATGCACATAAGAGACAGAATACAAGAAGTTTAAGTTGTAGGTGGAGTGGTTCTCAAATCTTGGCGGCAAAATTTAGCATGGTTACTGTGCAACTTGGATGCTAACAAAATTGAACAAAGTTACTCTGTGACTTGGATGCCGTGATGGTGGATCGTTGTCTTCGTTATGTTCATCGCTGTGATGGAATTATGAAAAAAGAAATAGAAATAGTACAAAATTGATAAAGCCAAAAGGTACAAGCAACAAGCATAGCATCCATAAAAGGAGAAGATGATATGTTGATTTATTAGCTTAATTTAATTAACCTAAAATGTAATTTCAATACTTAGAAATTTGTCTATAATTCTGAAGGAACTCAACAAAATTGTCTGCATATTGATTCTGAAGTTCCTTATCAGCAATTATAATCCTCATTTCCTTGGCTTTATCCCTGTAAACTCTTCCTTCTTCTTCGACTATCACCATCCTCAATGTCTCCGCCACCGACTTCCTCGAATACACCCCGTCTTCTTCATTTCTCTCTATTTCTATCCCCGCTTTCTTCTCCGCAAAAACTCTTGAAACTAATCCATGATCCATCACAAAAGGTAGCAAAACCAATGGACGCCCATAATGGAGTGCCTCGATAATTGAGTTTAGCCCACAATGAGTCAAGAACGCTCCCACCGATTCATGAGATAATATCTTCAGTTGAGGTGCCCAACTCGTCCACACCACTCCGCGGCCCTCGACTCTCTCCTCGAACCCATCCGGAAGCTCCACCGGATTGTGCTGCCTTCTCAGACACCAAAGGAAGGGTAATCCGGATAGCTCTAGCCCTCGAGCCAACTCAGTGAGGTCTTCTTGACTTGGATTTATCTCGCTTCCTAAAGCTACATAAACCACAGAACCTGCTTTTTGTTTGTCCAGCCACTCGCTGATTATAAGCCAAGAATTATGCTCAGTTACATTTTCTCTGTTATCTTTATCCGAGGGCGGTAATAGGCCGACGGATACAATTGGTTTACCATGAAGCTCTCCCATGAGGTTTAACCATTCCGATTCTAGCTCCATGCAGCTCTTAATAGCTATCACATCACAACCAGCTATCGCCGATCCGAAACGAAACAAGTCGCTCACTCCCGAATCGTCTTCTTTAAGATGAACGAACAGTTTCTTCGCCTCGTGGAGGCGAAATGCTATCTCGGAATGAAACGGTACCCAATTCGGAGGAACAGTGTAATCTTCCGGCTTAGTCCTTGGATCGTCGCCGTTGATCATTGCCGTTGTTGATGATCCGAAGAAACATATTGACCAAGCTGGGAAGATACTGAAGTAGGCGCAGGAGATGCCAAGATTGGCAGCTATTGGTGGTAACCAATAAGAGAAGACATCATAAATGATCCAATCAGGAGTACAAGTTTGTAGAAACTGAGTTAAAGAATCCTGGAGTTTATCATAGGACATTTTGAGGTATTGAACTTTGGAAAATGGCAAGTCAGTGGTGGATTCTGCGTCATGAGGGAGATTATCTTGAAAGGGTAAAATGAGGGAGACGAAGTTCATGAATGGTGATAAATTTGGAGGGATTTTTGGCAAGCGTTTGATGTTGTTAGGAGTTGATATGAAAAAGACTTTGTGATCCTTTCCAGCAATGTGCTTGGCTAACTCAAAGAAGGGAAGCATGTGACCAAAGGCTAGCCATGGAAACATGGTTATTTGAAGCTTTTTAGGCGTAGCCATGGAACTCAAGCTGGAGGTGTTTTTCTTTTTTTCGTCGAGAGAGATGGCAATGGTGTTTTGGCTCATCAATTTCACTTCTTCGGGCGATAACATCAAGGCCCCTTCTAAGATATTTGATAAACATGTGGGTTTTTCGACCTTAATTGATTGACACTTGGTCATCCATTTTACACTTGTCAATTAAGGTAATCAATTATTATTGAACTGAATTATAGAAGAAAACGAACTCATTTTATTCTTAAGAAAATTATTCAAAGATTAAATAAAATTTAAACTAAAAAATTAATAGAAATTCGTAACAAACATCCTTGAGGTAGGACTGCAATTGAGCCGAATCGAACCGAATATTTAATAACTGATAACAGTTTAAATTTTAACGGTTCATTAATAGTTCATTAATGCCAAGAATATTTATGTTATTTTAGAAATTTCAAACGATTTTGGTTATCATATCATTTCTTCAGAGGATTAACGACATTAACTTAAAGAAAAAAAAAAAAAAAATTGTAGCAATTGGATGGGCATGGATCAAGGATTCAGACATAAAATACATAGGGTGCGTTTGGACTTTGGAGTTTGGTGTACTACATTGGATTGGACTAAATATTTCACATTACATTGGATTGAACTGAATATAACTAGACATTAAATTCAATATTGTCATGTGTTTGGCACAACATCGAACTAAATATATAATTATTTATTTAAATAAAAACTTATTTATATAAAAATTTAAATTATATGAGAAGAATACTACTCATCTCATAGTTCTAAATTCAATATTGCATAAGCGCAGAAATTATTCTTTTCATGGATTCGGGTTGTGCATTTATTTTGGAAAATAGTAGATGGTAATGGTAATTTTTTTTTTTTTTTTGGTCTTTTTAGGGCAATTTGGTCTTTCTAAGGCAAGAACTTATGTAAAGTGATGGAAAATTGTGTTATTGTGTAAGCTTGCATGCATTTCTATCGGCTGGTTCTAATGATTTCTCATACAATATGATATGACAAAAGATGATTGACTGATTTTAAATTAAAAAATAAAATTTCGTTCAATCATCTTTTGTCACATCATGTTGTATAAAAATATTTTATGTGTAGTTTTCAAATTAATTGACCCCACTTCACTGAGCTACATATATGCATGAATTTTCCTTTTTATTCTCACATCAAAGGACATATTTTTTCTATATTTTGAGTGGACACTTTGCTTTTCCTC